TAAATAAATAAATAAATACACCCATGCACGATTATATCCATATCTGAGGTTAATGAATAGGGCAGAACCAATGAAGCAAAGAAATGAGATTTCTCTTTGCCCTCCCAGCGCCTTTGATCTAGCAGAGACTCCCTTGGTAAAAGAGAAATGCAGTGTGAAGCAGTAAGTGTCACAGCAGGTACTGGAGGCCCAGACGAGTTCAAATGCACTTACTGACGGCCTGTGTTCCTGGTTAGGTCATTTAACCTCCCACACCTGCAGAGTTGAAAAACCTCCCACAGAATGGTGAGGACAACAGGGAGACGGAGACCTACCAACAGGAAGAGGCAGGACGCCTGGAAGCGTGCGTGGCTCCTGTGAACCAGGCTGTGGAAGAGGCAGAATGTAACCAGCAAATGAGAAGCCTCACTCCTCTGGGGGCAGACCTGGTTCTCTGCCTCCAGGTGGAAGCCCTCACTCATCTGAGTTGCTGCCATTTGCACTAAGAAGTCTGGGGGTCTCTCTCAGCGGGGTTCTGATACCTGACCCCTGAGCGGCTCCAACACTCTATTGGGGAGATCTTGGATCTGACAGGTTCTCTCTGGTTAGGCCCCGTGGCAGCAGGCCTACACGTCCATGGTTGAGGCTGCTGCTCTCTGGTCCTGTGCAGACAGTCTCAAAGGTCCATCAACCCTTCTTCTGTACCTGGTGGTGTGCTGACGCTGCGGTTCAGATGGTGAACGGGTCCTGGCTTGTCACCTGGGATCTCCACTCCCTGGGATGTGGCCCTTCTGGCCTGGATTCTTCTCCATCTTTAATTTCTGGGTCTCCAAGGTGGGACGCTGCTGGCAGAGAAGTGCCTGGCTGCTGTCGGAGCTCAGAGCCTGGGCAGAGTCCCTCGGGGGACGCTGTGGGTCCTGGGGTCCCTGAACCTGGATGGGAGCAATCGGACACCTCAGAGTGAGGCTCGGGCCACTGTCACCACATGCCGTGGCCTGGCCACCTGCCATCCATAATCTACAGTGAACCTGAGCGTTTACAGGACGCAGGCAAACCATTAAATTGTCTCAGGAGGGGAGGCATACTCATCCTTCCAC